CTTCTTCCTCACTGACCTTGGTGAGCGGCCGAGCTCTGCACCGACCTTGTTCACAGACAACAAGGCGATGATTCTCCTGCGTCGAGAGCCTCGACAGGAGAGCAGAGTGAAGCAAATCAGCGTCAGGTACTTTCTTCTTCGAGAGTTGTAGAGGCGTGGACAGGCTCGTTTGGACTTCGTGTGCTCCAATGCCAACACTGCAGACATCTTCACCAAGGCCCTTCCGCCTTGTGACCACCACATGTTTTGTGTGCAGTTAGGTCTTGTTGACACAGGTTCTCGTCTTGTGTAGACTTGTGTTGTCTGCTTGCTTTGTTTGTACTCTTTACATATACCTCTGTTAACTCTTGGACTGGCCTTGTGGCCTCTTGTTTGTGCTCGGACTGTGTGGTGACATTGTGATCCACCCTGAGCTTTGTCTCTTTGTGACTGGTCTTGTGACTGTACGGTTTGGTTGTTGCATGACACCCCTCACTTAGGCTATGGGGGTGTGTCAAATGTTGTAGCCTGTAGTGAGGCATGTCATGTGGGGTACAGTTGTTAGTGTTAGGTATATGTACCCCAACTCACAGTAATACATCATTCATTCCGTTTCTAACAAAGAAGTACTCCTGTTTTGAGACTATGTTTTGCCGCTCCTCTCTGCTGCCCTCCAGCTTGAGCCTCTCATCCAGCAGTAGCTCAGTCAGGGAGATTACCAGCACCAATGACAGTGGCCTTGGAACCATTGAAACGCCATTCTGCACCTGTAACCCTGTCTGACCTCTTCTCTCTGCAGTGAGTGTGGTGTGGTTCCTTATGCAGTAGCATGTGGGTGTGGTGAGGTGAGTGGTGCGGGGCAGTGCAGTGGAATGCAGTGGCATATGTTGTAGCGAGTAACATGTGGTGCGGTGCGGTGTTGGGTTTTGGTGGTGATCTGACCGGTGCGGTGGAGTGCGGTGCGGTTTCATCAATAATGCGTACTTGCACCACTGGGACCATTGTGGTTGGATCGGCTCTTTTTAGGTAAGCCCCAACGTGGCTTTTGAGAATTCTCAAAAGCGGATCAGTTAGTCTTGTGTAAGGCTGCAGTCCAGTAAAAGGTTGCAGTCCTGTATAAGGCTGCAGTTTTGTATAAGGCTGCAGCTCTGTATAAGGATGCAGACCTATATAAGGCTGTAGTTCTGTATAAGGCTGCAGTTCTGTATAAGGCTGCAGTCCTGCATAAGGCTGCTATTCACATTCAGGCTTATACATGACTGATTTAACTTATTCAACTTCAAAGTTTTGAGACGTCTCAAAAGTCCTCTATTCAGGCTAATACATGACGGTTTAACCTATTCAACTTCAAGGTCTGTGTGATCCTGTATGCAAGTCTATCCTGTATGCCTTGGTGCACAGAGCAATGGTGCCTTGGCGCCTTGGTGCATAGAACAGTGGTGCCTTGGTGCCTTGGTGCACAGAGCAGTGGTGCCTTGGTGCCTTGATGCACAGAGCAGTGTTGCCTTGGTGCACAGAGCAGTGGTGCCTTGGTGCACAGAGCAGGGGTGCCTTGGTGCACAGAGCAGTGGTGCCTTGGTGCACAGAGCAGTGGTGCCTTGGTGCACAAAGCAATGGTGCCTTGGTGCACAAGGTAATGGTGCCTTGGTGCACAGAGCAGTAGTGCCTTGGTGCACAGAGCAGTGGTGCCTTGGTGCACAGGGCAGTGGTGCCTTGGTGCACGTAGCATTGACTCTCACAGTAGAGGGTACCAGAGCTACTCTTATTTTTCCCTCCGCACATTTCCTCCTGCCTGTTTCTCTCCTTTCCATCACTAACTCAACTCAACAACGCCCAATGAGGCCCAACTCACTCGCTCACTCGCCTCGATCACTCGCTCACTCGCCTCGCTCACTCGCTCACTCGCTTCACTCAGTCACTCATTCACCCACTCACTCACTCACTCACCCACTCGCTCACTCACTCACTAGCCTCGCTCACTCGCCTCGCTTACTCGCCTCGCTCATTTGCTCACTCGCCTCATTCACTTGCTCACTCGGCCAACTCACTCGCTTGCTCGCCTCACTCACTCGCTGACTTGCCTCAAGTCCGTAGCACAAGGGCCTTGTGGCCGCGTGAGTTGCGTTGTTTTAGGCAAACTTGAAGTTTGGTACCTGCTGATCAGAGAGGAGTACGGGAGAAAACGTTCTCGGGGAAGGCATTCGGAAGGCGTCATGAGGGGCGTTGCACGGTGAGGCGAGGAGAAGCTGGAATGGCGGGCGTAGAAACAAAAGCGTCGAGGAGAAGATAGACGCGATATAGCGTGGCAACAAAAATGCGTCATACAAAATGACACAGCGAGAACGAAGCTATGTAAAAGAGATGGGAATTAGATCCAGATATTCTGTTTGTAAGGCAAATATCCTAACCATTGGAATGCTACGCTGTAATGGTATGTAAATAATCTATATAGAATGTAACACAAACCTAGAATTCTCTCTGCATGACGAAGCTAATGACGGTCGTCGTTATTCTCATGTTTCCCGTTGGGTCCTTGAGCGACATAGTGGGGTAACCTCGCGAGGGTTCCCCGAATCCTTGAACAACTCTCGCTCAGAGTTGTTGAGTTGACTGAGAGTCATTGTGCGTTGTTGAGAGTCGTTGCACGACTGTTGTTATTACTAGGCATTCCAGCTGACCCACTCGACCGAGCAGGAACCTCTACTACCATAGTCGTGCCAGCAAGGCAGAGAGCAAAGTGCCATGACGATGAGGTCAGGGAGGAAAGTGCGGCAAGGGGAGAAGGGAAGACTTTACATCGCCTTCATGGGATGTCCGGGAGTCCGGAAATCAAGGTTCGGGCATTGCACATGACACCTCCCATGATTTCGCACTATGCTGACGTTGACGGGGAAGGAATCTGGACGTCGTGCGAATAGACTTCACACGATCGCCGGGAGTCGTGCATGCAGAGTTGATTGGGCGCGAGGTTCCGCATTTCGTCAACGGTCGCACACGCAAGTGTCGGTTGGCGGCACGTGGGGGCGCAACGTGGGAGGGAGCTGCCAGGCTGGACCCAATGCACTTTTGGGACGCTTGATGTAACTCTGTGTAACCCACGGAGATTCCCAAAGAAGGCGATCTAGCTTCATCGCCCGAGGTACAACTGATTTCAACTAATTTCACGAAGTACCACCCTTGCTGGTGCAGTCGTAGTGACAGCAGCCAGAGTCTCGAGAATAAATTTCCAGAGTGCCTCGGCATTTTCTTTGTCAATTTCTTTTCAAATCTACCGCCGTTCCCCTGCTGCCACTGCAATCTCTCTATGGCTTCTCACAAACAACACTCACATTCTGAGAAACAACATTCGTTGCTTTATGAAGAACGGCCTTATCGATCATGGGCTTTTCTTCTCCTACCATCGCTCCTCCTCACTCTACCCGTAACGCTCTCACGCCCCACCAACGCTGGTGAGCAAACGGCTATACATCACGGCGCTCCGTAGCATCCTATATAAATTAGGCTCATAGCGTCCCTTTGTAATACATCCTCGGCCTAGTATGCTCCCTCCCTTCCCCCACTCACTCCCATTTCCACTTCTCTCCCTGGCCCTGCTCTCCCTGGCCCTGCTCTCCCTGGCCCTGCTCTCTCGGCCAACGACTCGCAGCTGCCCGTATTGATGCCTGCACGCTCAACAAGTTGTCCGCCTTCCCTCCCCCTTCCCTTGTCATTTCCAGCTCTTCCGCACGCTCCACCGCACCCCATCTTTCCGCTGCTCTGCCGCTTCGTGCCGCCTCTTTCCCTCAGCCCCTCCTCGTCCTGTTCCCCCCATCCGCGCAGCTTCCCCCTCCCATGGCTCCGCGCTCTACATCGTCCGCCTGCGCTCCGCACCGCCCGTCGCCTCGTACCGCGGGGGGATCCCTGGCTTCGCGGCAACGGCCGCCTGGGACAGCGACCCTAACAGCAACGCGCCAGGCACCGCCGCATCTGATGATGATGACGCCCGCGGTGGCGTTGGCACGGCTTCCGCTGCTCCTGTCACTGCTGCTGCTGCTGCTGCCACTAGCGGTTCAGGAGGGACCAGCCGTGTGCGGCGGCGGCCGCGGGTGAACGTGAGGGCGCCGGGCGTGAGGGCGTTCAAGCAGCTGCTGCAGCGCATGCAGCAGGCCGTGCTGAGAGACAGCGGGGTGACCGCGGGGAGATGGTGTACAGGTGAGCGTGAGAGGAATGTGGGAGACTTGCACGAAAGAACAAGAATACTGACAGCTGCTAGTGCACTTGCGTTTCCTGTTCCTACTGCTTCTGCAGCACACGCGACAGGAGGTGGTGGAGAACAGAGGGCTTACTGTGGTGGGGAGAACAGAGGGCTTACTGTGGTAGGGAGAACAGAGGGCTTATTGTGGTAGGGAGAACAGAGGGCTTACTGTGGTAGGGAGGGAAGGTGAGCTGTGGTAGGGAGGGAAGGTGAGCTGTGGTAGGGAGGGAAGGTGAGCTGTGGTAGGGAGGGAAGGTGAGCTGTGGTAGGGAGGGAAGGTGAGCTGTGGTAGGGAGGGAAGGTGAGCTGTGGTAGGGAGGGAAGGTGAGCTGTGGTAGGGAGGGAAGGTGAGCTGTGGTAGGGAGGGAAGGTGAGCTGTGGTAGGGAGGGAAGGTGAGCTGTGGTGGTTATCGAGACGTTTGTCCAGGGCCCAGGCGACTCAAAGGCGGATGCAGCAAGCTGTGGGAGCATGGCGGATGGGCTGACATCTCAGAAACCCATCTCAGAAATGGTCAAATCACCGCACTGCACCGCACCGCACCGCACTGAACCGACGGGTTGACGTATATACGTCATGACTGGGCTGCTTCCCTCCCATGCCCTCTCATGGCAAGACGGTTGGGTTCCCCTGCCCTCCCTGCCCGCCCTCCTTCCCCCCTTCTCAGCTACGTGCATGTGTCGAATGGCTTTGCAGCGACCCTCACCCCTTCGTTTCCCCTACCCGCCCTCCCCTGCGCGCCTTCTCTCTTCTTCCCCTGCCCACCCTCCCTCCCTCCCCCCTTCTCAGCTACATGCACGCATCCAACGGCTTCGCAGCGACCCTCACGGCAGCGCAGGTGCAGCGCATGAGGCGGCACCCCTCTGTGGCGCCCGTCACGCCCTCTCGCACCATCACACGCCGCCGCGCCGTCACTGCCGCCGCCGACGGGCACAAGTCTCTCAACCTGCCCCACGCCCGTGCTGCTGCTGCTGCTGCTGCTGCTGCCACTGCTGCTGCTGCCACTCCGGCTGGAGCGCCGAGCGATGGTGATGGCACGGTGATTGGGATTGTGGACAGCGGCGTGTGGCCGGAGCACCCTTCCTTTGACGATACGGTACGCTGATACCCCTCACCTTATGAGCAGCTGCTGCTGCTGTTACTGCTACCGCTGCTGCTGCTGCTGCTGCTGCTGCTGCTGCTGCTGCTGCCGGAGAGACTAGTAGTGGTGTTGTTGATGGTGCTGTTACCTCCTTCCTTCCCTTCACCATCCTTGATGACGTGTCCTCCCTCTCTCCCCACGCTCCTCCTTTTTCCACCTCGCCGCTCCCTCCCTTCTCCTCGTCCCTTCCTTCGCATCCCCCCTTTGGTTCCCTCTTTCCCATCCTTTCATCTCTGCCTCTCCGTCCCACCGCAACAGACGACTATCGTCACCAGCTTTTTTTCCAATCAATTGCCCCTCCACCCTCCTCGTCCCCACCAGGGCTACAGCAGCACGCTCCCTGCCGGGTGGGCGGGCACGTGTCCCACGACAAGCGACTTCGCATGCAACAAGAAGATCATCGGTGGGGGGGTGTTTCACGCGGGGTTTAAGAGCAGGTATAGCGACGGCCTCAACCTCACCCTCAACTGGCTGTCCCCGCGGGATTCTGATGGCCATGGCACTTGGTGTGCCGGGTGAGTGCTGGGACGTGCTGTGCGTGCAGGGATGTGTGGTGAGCGTAGGGGTTTGAGAGCAGGTATAGAGACGGTCTCAACCTCACTCTTGACTGGATGTCCCCGCGGGATTATGATGGCCACGGCACTTGGTGTGCTGGGTGAGTGTAAGGATGTGCGGTGAGTGTAGCAGCCATGTGCGGTGAGTGTAAGGATGTGCCGTGTGTGAAAGTAGCAAATTGAACAAGTCATCAGATTAGAGGAACAACCTAGCATACATAGTTCGAAGGGAAGGTTGGAAGGGAAGGATGAAAGTGACCATAGGTTGGGTTGACCTCACTTGGGGAAGTGAGGGAACCATAGGTCAAGTGGGTTGGGTTGCCCACACTTTGTAGAAGTGAGGCAACCCTAGGCCCACTTGGCTTGGGGTAACCTCAATTGTGGGAAGTGAGGTACCCACAAGTCAAGAGGGTTGCATTTGGGGGCTCCACCACAATTGGGTGGATTGGCACCCCAAAGTGCAAGACTACACCCAAAGTTGGGTGTAGTCCCAACCCAACTGTACACCACAATTGGTGTACAGTCACATGTGTTGGCATGCTACACTATATATTTTAACACAACCCCTTAGCATGCTAACACAAGAAGAGAACAACCCCTGAATCAAGGGGCGCCCGGGCGAGCAAGGCCAATGAGGCGGAGGAAGGCAGAGTGCGCGGGGCGAAGGAGGGCCTTAGTGAAGATGTCGGCCAAGTTGGCCTCGGTTGCAATCTTGCGAACGGCAATGAGGCCCTTCTGGACGAGCTCGCGAACGAAGAAGTAGCGGAGTTCGATGTGCTTGGAGCGGGCGTGATAGACGGGGTCCTGAGTGAGATGGATGGTGCTGGCGTTGTCGCACCAGAGAGTGGGGCACGTCTGGGGGGCGCCAAGCTCCGCAAGAAGGAAGCAGAGCCAGCGCGACTCCTGGGCGGCCATGGTGCCAGCGTAGAGCTCGGCTTCGCAGGTGGAGAGAGAGATGGCGGAGGAGCGGGTGGAGCGCCAGCTGATGAGGCCGCTGCCAAGGGTGAAGCCGTAGCCCTGGGAGGAGCGGCGGTCCGGCTGCGTGTCAGCCCATGAGGAGTCACTGAAGCCCGAGAGAAGGGGACGGGAAGGGCCGCCAAGGGTGAGGGCAAGGTCCCTGGTCCCGCGAAGGTAGCGGAGGACCCGCTTGGCAGCTTTCCAGTGCTCCTCAGAGTGACGACCGGTGCCGACAAAGCGAGCGAGCATGCTGATGGGGTAGGCGAGGTCGGGGCGGGTGCACATCATTGCGTACATCAAGGACCCAACGAGCTCGGCATAGGGGTGGGGGGAGGAGGTGGGGGAGGTGGGTGGAGCGAGTTGGTGACCGAAGGGGAGCGGGGTGGAAACAGGCTTGGCTTGCGCCATGTCGAACTTCTCCAAGACCTGGCCGATGTAATGGGACTGGGAGAGGGTGATTGTGCGAGCAGGGCGGTTGCGCGTGATGGTCATGCCGAGGTAGTGAGTGAGGGCGCCAAGGTCCTTGCACTTGAGCCGCTGCCGCAGGGACAGCTTCACCTGCTCCATGTCGGCCTTGGTGTCAGAGAGCAGGATCATGTCGTCGACATATACCAGAATGAAGAAGCGGCGGGGGGAGGAGCGGATGAAGAGGCTGGCGTCGGAGTGGGAAGCAGAGAAGCCGAGGGACCCCAAGGTGGCAGCCAGCTTCGCATGCCACTCACGCGGTGCCTGCTTCAAGCCGTAGACGGGGCGACGCAGCTGCCAGACAGTGTTCTCAGGAAAGGCTGCGTGGAACCCGGGGGGTCGCCGGAGGAAAATACGCTCATGCAGGTCGCCCTGCAGGAACGCATTGGAGACGTCCATGGAGTCGATTTCCATGTCGTCACGTGCACCAATGTCCATGGCGGCGCGAAGGGTGGGTGGTTTGGCGGTGGGGGCGTAGGTGAACCAGTAGTCCTCAGCCCAAGTCTGCGTGAACCCCTTAGCGCAGTAGCGGGCCTTGTACACTGGTTCCTCGCCCGGCAGCTGCTTCACCCGAAAGACCCATTTGCCGTCAACGAGATTAGCGCCAGCAGGGAGGGGGACATCGACAAAGGAGTCGTTGCGAATGAAAGCCTCACACTCCAGGAAGATCGCTGCTATCCATTTATCCGCATCAGGGCAGGTGATGGCTTCCTGGAAGGTGGAGGGAGTGAAGATGGTGGGGGTAGTAGTGGCGCCAAGGACAGGAAAGCCCAGGAAGTCAAGGTAGAGGGCGGCAAGGAATGGAGTGTGCTCCCGAATGTTGAGGAACTCCTCATGGGAGTCCTCAAGGAGCTGAATGGAGGCAGGAGGAGGAGCCCCAAGGATTTTGTCCACCGAGCGGGTATGGATGTAAGGGAGGAGGAAGGGGGAGGAGCGGGAAGTGGCACGGCGCCGCTGCTGCTGCTGGTGCTGCTGCTGCTGATGCTGCTGCTGCTGCTGCTGTCCCGGCTGCTGCCGATGCGGCTGCCCCGGCTGCTGCTGCTGCTGCTGCTGCTCCGGCTGCTGCTGCTGCTGCTGCTGCTGCTGCTGCCCCGGCTGCTGCTGCTGCTGCCCCTGCTGCCGTTGCTGGTGTTGCTCCCGCTGCTGCTGCTGCTGCTGCTGCTGCTGGTGCTGCTGCTGCCCCTGCTGTTGCTGATCCGGCTGCTGCTGCTGCTGCTGCCCCTGCTGTTGCTGATCCGGCTGCTGGAAAGGAGGAGAATGAGAGGAGGAGGGAGAGGGGGGAGGGGGTGCAGCTGAGTGAGCGGGGGAGGCGGGTGCGGCAGGGTCGTAGACGTCGGCAGAGGAGGAAGGCGGGAGTGGGGCGGCGACAGGTGGGAGGAGAGGCGCTGGAGGGATAAGAGGCGGGAGGATGGTGTCGGTCCAAGCGAGGGGGCGAGTGGGAGGAGGGAGGGGGTCAGGAGGAGGGGTGGAGTAGTAGGGAGTGGACTCGTCGAAGACGACGTCAATGCTGCGGATGAGGCGATTGGTGGGAGGGTGGAGGAATAGGTAGCCTGGGGAATCACGATTGTGCCCAAGGTAGACGCACTCCAGAGCGCGAGGAGCGAGCTTGCCAGCAGCTCGGGAGCGGTCGGCCGGTGGAATGAGGACGAACGCCTTGCAGCCCCAAACACGAAGGCCTGCGGCGTCAGGCTTGGCCTTGGACCAGAGTTCTGTGGGGGAGGAGGAGGGATGCTGAGGGTGGGAGCGGAGATTGAGGAGGAGGGCGGCATGAATGAGGGCATAGCTCCAGAGGGAGGGAGTGGTGGAGGCGTGAGCAATGAGGCAGCGCGCAATCTTGGTGATCTCACGGATGCGACTCTCAGCGATGCCGTTTTGCTGAGGGGAGTGGGGAAGGGTGGTGGTCTGCTGAATGCCGTATGTTTTGCAGTAAGTGGAGAGAGTATGATTGATGAACTCACCCCCACCGTCAGAGTGAAGGCGGCCTATGGGACGTTTGAAGTGGTTGCGGCACTGCTCAGCCCAGTGGATGACCACAGCCGGCACCTGGTCTTTCGTGTGAAGAAAGAAGACGGTGGAGTACCGACTGTGGTCGTCGACGAGCACGAGCATGTACCTGTGCCCCTGACGGGAGCGGATGGGATAAGGGCCCCAGAGATCCATGTGAACAAGGTCAATGGGGGCGGGAGCGAAGGTGGGATGACTGTGATGGGGGGACTGTTTGAGCTTGCCATGAATGCATGATGGGCATGGGGGAGCAGGGGAGGAGGGGAGGGGAGGTAAGGTGGGAGGAAGGCTGTTAAGGAGGCGAGAGGTGACGGTGGAGCGAAGTGCGGCGAAGTTGGGATGGCCGAGTCTGTGATGTAGGAGCACTGCAGGATGGGAGAGGGCAGTAGAGGAGGAGGGGGATGGGGTGGGGGAAAAGTTGGGGGGCGAGGAGGAGGCGGATGGAGTAGAGGAGGAGGATATCGGAGGAGGGGGAGGGGGAGGGTGAGGGGGAGGGAGAAGGGGACCGGTGGAAGTACCAGCACGAGTGGTGACGTGACAAAAGGAGGGACGGGGTGTGCGGAGCGTGTAAAGGCGAGTGCGAGGGCAAAGGGGAATGCGCAGGAGGAAACGACCAGAGGCGGTGTGGTAGAGATCGCAGTAGGAAGCAAAGCCAGGGTATATGGCGGTAATGCCAACGCCTTGGAGTTCACGGTGGGAGAGGAGGTTATTGCGAAGGGTAGGGATGTGGAGACCGGTGACTGTACCGGATGGGAAGGCGGTGCAAGGAAGGGTGGAGAGGTGAGTGCAGGGGATGGAAAAGCTGGAGTCGGCACCATGAACCTGGGTGGGAAGTGGAAGGGGGGTGAGGGTGCCAGCGTCTTTTAGTGCGGTTTCGGTGGCCCCACTGTCAAGGACAAAGTCCAGGGTGGGGGGGGAAGGAGAGGGAGGGAACACAGAGTACTGGAGAGTTGTTTCATGGATAGAAGAGGGAGAGAGCGGCGGGTGCTGCTGCTGTAAGTACTGTTGCTGCTGCGGCTGCTGCGGTGGGAGAGACTGTGACGGTTGCGGCTGGAGAGATTGGGCTGCTGCTGCTGCTGGAAGCACCGCAGATGCTGCCGCGGTTGCTGCGGCTGGAGAGATTGTGGTGGCTGCTGCTGCTGGAAGCACTGCTGCTGCTGCGGATGGAGAGAACTGTGGCTGGTGCTGCTGCTGCGGCTGAAGAAACTGTGGCTGCCGCTGCTGCTGGAAGGACTGCTGCTGCTGCGGCGGAAGGAACTGTGGCAGCTGCTGCTGCTGGAAGCACTGCTGCTGCTGCGGCTGGAGAGACTGTGGCTGCTGCTGCTGCAGGAAGGACTGCTGCTGCTGCGGTGGAAGGAACTGTGGCAGCTGCTGCTGCTGGAAGGACTGCCGCTGCTGCGGCTGGAAGGACTGCTGCTGCTGGGGATGGAGAAACTGTGGCGGGTGAGGCTGGAGAGATTGCGGCTGCTGTTGGTGTTGGAAGAACTGCTGCTGCTGCGATTGCCGCGGCTGGAGGAGATGTGGGGGGTGCGGCTGGAGAAATTGTGGTTGCTGCCGCTGCTGGAAGTCCTGCTGCTGCTGATGCTGGAGCTGCTGGAAACGCCGCAGATGGGGAGGGGGGGAGGGGGTGAGCAGGCGGAGATAAGGGGGGGGGGAGGAGTGGAGGGTCGGAGTGTTGAGAAGGGAGGGGCGAGGAGTAACACTGCTCCAGTGAGGAGGGGGGAGAGGGGCAGGGGGGGTAGCAGTCATGATGGGCGACGGCGGGTGGACCCGCGGCGGCCAAGGGTGAAGTTGCTGCTGCGGAGGCTGCTGCACTTCCCCTGCTGCCGCTGCTGCTGCCGCTGGCAGGAGGAGGGAGGGGGGGGGGGGGGGGGGGTAAAGGAGGGAGACAGCGGTGGAGGGCAGAGGCGTTCAAGGTGCAGGGAGCGACGGTGACAAGGGCGCAGGCGGCTGTGCGAACGTGCGGCGGCGGGAAGGGGAGGCGGTGGCAAAGTCGGGGGCGGCGGCGGCGAGCAGGCCGCGACGACGAGGGGCGCAGGCGACGGCGGAAGGGCCGCGGCGGCGAAACGAGGGACGGCGGCGGCAGGCAGGCCGCGGCAACGAGGGGCGCAGGGGGAGGAGGGGGGGGGAGAGGAGTAGGGAGAGGAGGAAGGGAGGGTGCAGTTGCGGCTGAATCTGCAGGCGGCGACGGGGCAGTCACGGCGGCAGGAAGTGTGGGCGGGGATGGCGCGGTCGCGGTGGAGGATGGGCAGGCGGCGCCGAAGCAGTCGCGGCGGTAGGGCGGCGGCGGCGCAGTGGCGTTAACGGGAACCGCGGGGCGACGATGTTGCAGTTGCGGCGGGGGAAATTGCGGGAGGGTGGCGATGCAGAAGGGGCAGCGAGATGCGTGGGTGACGCGGAAGCAGGTGCGGCGGTGGGAGGGGAGGCGGCAATGCGAAATCGCGGCGGGGGGGGGGGGGGGGGGGGGGGGGGGGGGGGGGGGCGGGGAGGTGACGACGAGCAGTCGCGGCGGCGGAATGCGCAGGCGGCGATGTTAGGTCGCGGCGGCGGGACGGGCAGGGGGCGACGAGCTGTAGCGGCGGCGGGACGGGCAGACGGCGCCGAAGCAGGCGCGGCGGCGGGAAGGGGAGGCGGCGACGTGACGTCGCGGCGGAGGGACGGGCAGGCGGCGACGAGGCGTCGCGGCGGCGGGATGCGCAGGCGGCGCCGAAGCAGGCGCGGCGGCGGGAACGCGGCGACGAGACGTCGCGGCGGAGGGACGGGCAGGCGGCGACGAGGTGTCGCGGCGGCAGGATGCGCAGGCGGCGCCGTAGCAGGCGCGGCGGCGGGAACGCGGCGACGAGACGTCGCGGCGGAGGGACGGGCAGGCGGCGACGAGGCGTCGCGGCGGCAGGATGCGCAGGCGGCGCCGAAGCAGGCGCGGCGGCGGGAACGCGGCGACGAGACGTCGCGGCGGAGGGACGGGCAGGCGGCGACGAGGCGTCGCGGCGGCAGGATGCGCAGGCGGCGCCGTAGCAGGCGCGGCGGCGGGAACGCGGCGACGTGACGTCGCGGCGGAGGGACGGGCAGCGGGCAGGCGGCGACGAGGAGTCGCGGCGGCAGGATGCGCAGGCGGCGCCGAATCAGGCGCGGCGGCGAGAAGGGGAGGCGGCGACAGGGGGTCGCGGCGGGGGGGAGGAGGGGACAGCGGCGTTGCGCTCGCGGCGGTGGAATCCGCAGGCGAGGAAGGCGTAATCGCGGCGGGAGGAGGGGGGAACGGCGGCGACGGCGTAGGTCGCGGCGAGAGTATGCTAGTGATGGCTAGTTGAGCCACGCGTAGGAAAGGGTTTGTAGCTGTGGGGTGGGCCCATGGGAAAAAAAAAAAAACTGAAGGGAGGGAGAGGTAAGGCCTAGGAACAAGTAGCTCTATACCATGTGAAAGTAGCAAATTGAACAAGTCATCAGATTAGAGGAACAACCTAGCATACATAGTTCGAAGGGAAGGTTGGAAGGGAAGGATGAAAGTGACCATAGGTTGGGTTGACCTCACTTGGGGAAGTGAGGGAACCATAGGTCAAGTGGGTTGGGTTGCCCACACTTTGTAGAAGTGAGGCAACCCTAGGCCCACTTGGCTTGGGGTAACCTCAATTGTGGGAAGTGAGGTACCCACAAGTCAAGAGGGTTGCATTTGGGGGCTCCACCACAATTGGGTGGATTGGCACCCCAAAGTGCAAGACTACACCCAAAGTTGGGTGTAGTCCCAACCCAACTGTACACCACAATTGGTGTACAGTCACATGTGTTGGCATGCTACACAATATATATTTTAACACCGTGAGTGCAGGGACGTGTGGTGACATGTGTGGTGAGTGTATGCAGTAGCAGTATGCAGGCAGCAACAGCAGGCAAATAGCGGTAGCAGGAAGCAGCAGCAGCAGGCAAGTGGCAGCAGCACGCAAGCAGCAGCAGCAGGCAAGCGGCAGCAGCACGCAAGCGGCAGCAGCAGGCAAGCGGCAGCAGGGGAAGTGCCAGTGGCGATGCCATGGCCTTGCATGGTATTTTTTTAGAATTCTCAAAAAACACACACTGCATGGTATGGTGTGTTCTGCCTTGGGATTGCACAGCACGTGGCGTTTTAGATAGTAGTTTTGCAGAGAGGGGGGAAGAAGAATATGCATGTGGTGTGGCCAGGACATTCCCGTCCCTTCATAGCCGCTCCTTCCATTCACTTCATACCCATGTTGCCCCACTCTCAGAGCGGCAGCGGGCAACAGCGGCGTGAGTCTGCCTGGCTGGGGCACGGTCAGTGGCGTGGCTGCCAAGGCACGCCTGGCCGTCTACAAAGTGTTCTGGCGCATGCATAATTACGACATACGCGCTTCAGAAACAGACATCTTTGCTGCCGTTGATCGGGCCGTGGCGGACGGTGTGGATGTGCTGACCCTGTCGCTGGATGACTCGTATAGAGGCGTTAGCGGCAACGGCAACGGCACCGGACCCTACTTTGACGATGTGCCTTTCCTTGGCGCCCTTGCGGTGGGTGTGAGGGGCGCCCTTGCGGTGGGTGTGAGGGGCGCCCTTGCGGTGGGTGTGAGGGGCGCCCTTGCGGTGGGTGTGAGGGGCGCCCTTGCGGTGGGTGTGAGGGGCGCCCTTGCGGTGGGTGTGAGGGGCGCCCTTGCGGTGGGTGTGAGGGGCGCCCTTGCGGTGGGTGTGAGGGGCGTGCGGTGGGTGTGGTGTGGCTTAGCTGGTTGGCCCAAGCATGTTCTTGGATTCACGTGCATGCGAGTGCGGGGGTATTCTTGAATGTGAATTCGCATGCAACTCACCGCTTTCTACCCTCCCTCCCTCCCTCCCTCCCTCCCTCCCTACATCAAGCCGGGCTATTTGTAGAATTCGCAAACAACAACACCTGCCCGTCACCGACACCTGAGATTCAGCAATTTGAAACCTTTCAACCCTTTCCCCCTCTCAGTCCTCATTCTCGCCACCTCCTCTCCCCGTCTTTCCCCCACTCCCTCCTTCAGGCCGGGGTGAGTGTGGTTTTGGCAGTGGGCGACGGTGGAGAGGCCAAGTTCCATTACATGTATGGTGCTCTTGAGGCTATTGACAACTTTGCACCCTTCTATATCAGCGTGGGGGCAAGGTGAGAATGAGGAGCGCTCACTAAGAGTGGCAGAGGTTGCATTGCATCCCCCTGCTCTCACGGAGGACGGCCACATGCATGCTCTGCAACGAGTGACATGAGATGCTGTCACCCTCTACTGCTACATTCATGACATGCCATGAGTGCATGTGCACGCGTTGTCCTTTGCAGGCAAGGCAAGGTACCTGCTTGTTCTACACGCTGCAGCTTTGCGCTGCACTGATTTTTCCTCCTCTTTTTCTTCCCTTGAATCATGCGTTTTCCCATGCTCCCTTCCCTCGTCTTGCATCTCTCCCTCGTCTTCCATCTCCTGCTGCCCTTCTCATGCTTACACACACCTTCCATGCCTCACCATGCAGTACGCTGCCTCAGGCTTCCCTCACCTCAGCATCAACATCAACAGCAGCAGCAGCAGCAGCAGCAGCGGTAGAATCTCCTGCAAACACCACAGGCCCAGCAGCATCAACACTGCTGGGAGCCCGACTCCCTGCCACCATCTCCCCTGCAGACACCGCCCTCCCCATGGTTCCCACCTGGTCCTCCACCGGCCCTCTCACCGCTCCCGGCTGTTCGTTATGCCGCCCATTGAAGCTCCTCCGTCGCTCCAACACCATTGTCAAGCCAGACATCATCGCCCCGGGAGCCAGCATCCTTGCAGCTGAGCCCGGGCAAACGGTCGGCGAGACGGGGTCGTTTAGGGTTTATGGTGAGGAAACTGCCATCTCTGCGGCGCTTGTTGCTGGTGTGGCTGCTCTGATCGTCCAGCAGCATCCTGATTGGTCGCCCGCGCAGGTCATGTCTGCAATGATGACGACAGCTGGCCGCACTGATAGCAGCAACAGAGTGATTCGGAATGTGAATGGGGAACCGGCAACGCCCTGGCAGATGGGAGCGGGGCATGTGTTTCCCGCTCGGGCGTTTGACCCTGGGTTGACCTACGATGCTGGGGAGCAAGATTTTCGTAATTTCCTTGCTGGGCTGAACATGAAGCTGGCTCGGAGGGTGTTCGGGCAGGTGCAGCTGACACCCGTTCCAGCCAGGCATCTGAACCGGCCTTCTATCTCGCTGGTCAACATAATCACTAAACTCACCACTACGCGGACAATGACTAGTGTCTCAGACACCACATCGACCTACAGGGTGAGGGTTAACGCCCCTGAGGCAGTGAGAGTGAGTGTGGTGCCATCGCAGTTTACCATAGCGCCGGGACAACGGGTCAGTTTCAAGGTGAAGGTTGTGCTGAGGAGCAAGTTCAAAAGGTTCAAGTACGGCAGCCTCACGTGGGAGGATGACAAGGGGCACTCTGTGCGCTCGGTTCTTGTTCTCCATTGCAAACGTACTTGCGTGTACTATTGCTAGATCTTTAAGTTGTGTCAATCAGTTGTGCGTCGTGCAAGCATAATGTATTTCTATTACATACAACTTCTCAAATCTGAGGGTACCAGTACATTCCCACAAGTTACGCTTTGATTGGCGCGTTCCAAACATGACAGCTTCATGATATGAAGGCCTTGGAATTGCATATGTTTAAAGAGCATCGTTGGCCCTTGCAGAGCTGGTGGGGATGTCGTTGAGTGAGTTTGGCTCCCGTCTTGGGAGGGAGTTATGGTACTGTGGTCCCCCAAGTTTCAAACTCATGAGTTTTTCCCCTCCTACCTGCGGGGGGGAAGCGGGGGAGAGATGGAGGGGGACCCACCCACCACCCTACACGACACTCTTCGCAGCAGCACAGCAGCAGTTTGTTCGCGCCTCCCAACCACAGACAGGGTACAGTACCGTAGCTGCACAAGCAAGTGATAAACCTTCGCTTCTTTGCCCCCCAAAGTGCACTGGCGCTTTAACTTCTAGTGTTGGCATGTGAACGGCGTGCCAGGGATGCCATTCCTTTGTACACGCTTGCTGACTGTTGCGTGCCGGAAAGGAAACACAAGATTCGAAACATGCGGGACAGTCAGCGTAGTACTGTAAACCCAGAAAAGAAACGCCAGGCCTGTTAAGCAACGTCTTTAGAGGCGAGGCGAGGCGCCTAAAAAACGCCTGTCAAGCAACAGCTGCGCAGCAACCGCTCGATTCTGCAATTGCACACCGGTACCGTACCTTCCAACCCCCCACTCCCGGCTGTACGTTCTGCCACCCATTGAAGCTCCGCCCCTCCAACACCATTCTCAAGCCAGACATCATTGCCCTGGGAGCCACCATCTTTGCAGCTGCGCCTGGGACAACGGTCGGCGAGACAGGGTCGTTTTCGGTTTACGGTGAGAACACTGCTGTGGCGGCGGCGCATGTTGCTGGTGTGGCTGCTCTGATCATCCAGCAGCATCCTGATTGGACGCCCGCGCAGGTCATGTCTGCCATGATGACCACAATGGGCAGCACTGACAACAGCAACAGAATGATTCGGAATATAAATGGGTTGCCGGCAACCCCTTGGGAGATGGGAGCGGGGCATGTGTTTCAGGCTAGGGCGTTTGACCCTGGGTTGACCTACAATGCCGGGGAGCAAGATTTTCGGAATTTCCTTGCTGGGCTGAGCATGAAGCTGGCTCGGAGGGTGTTCGGGCAGATGCAGCTGACACCCGTGCCAACCAGGCACCTGAACCGGCCTTCTATCTCACTGGTCAACATAGTGAATAAACTCACCGCCGGACGGACTGTGACCAGCGTCTCAGACACCACAGGGTGATTGTTAATGCCCCGGAGGCAGTGCGAGTGAGAGTGACGCCATTGCAGTTTACAATAGCGTTGGGGCAACGGGTCAGTTTCAAGGTGAAGGTTGTGGTGAGGAGGAAGTTCAAGAAATTCAAGTATGGCAGCCTCATATAAGAGGATGAGAAGGGGCATTCTGTGCGCTCAGTTCTTGTTCTCTATTGCAAACCTACTTGTTTGTACTATTGCTAGATTATTAGTGTCATTGAGTTGTCGTGCTTTGTGCAAGCAAAATGTGTTTCTATTACATATAGCTCAAATCTGAAGGTACGTTCCCAAAAGTTACTACAAACTCCGTGTTATGAGTTGTCAAAAGAAAGAGTGATTACAACTACTGATCGAAAAATGAAGCACAGCACGGATATAATTAAAGGCTGGTTAGGCGGGGTCCGTGGGGTCGCGATGGTTGGGTGCTGGTTCGGGGTTGCCAAAGCCCAAAGGCGATGCGAGGTTCGATTGGGAGGTGAGGTCGTCAGACCGAGCCTGGACTTCGGAAAGTCGAGTTGTATGCGTATAAAGTGACCCAGCAAGGAATCGGAAAAAATCCTTACACTATCCCCCCTTGCCAGGGCCTATTTTATCAGTGTAATTTACACTGCTATACTGATTATAAGGGTGAAATTTAGGGCCTGCACTGATGTGTTTGGGATTATTTTAAGCGGATTAGTGTTACACTGATATGTCAGTGTAACGATTTAGGCCGCACTGATGCTCTGATGTCGGCGGGCTAAATAGTCCCGTGATACCGAATGTCCCTGTAGCGAGTTGGAGGTGACCCATGTGTCACATTCGCTCATGCGATCTGCCCATGGGAGGAGGAAGACGACGTGGCGTCCTGTCTGCATCGGATCCACGCGATGATTCAATATCTTCCACGGCTGAAGTGTCGGTTCTGCCACGAGCCAAACACTTGGCACGAGATTGGGGGGGGGGGAAGATCAGACAAGTGTGGTGCGGCAAAGTGTCGCAGTAGAAAGCTGTGGAATGCGTCATGAACACGACCCAAAATATCAGGTTCGTATACCATATTTGCCCTTTTTGGCGGCCATTTTTGGGAGTTAACCCTTTCTCAGACAGTGTAACTAGATTCTTGCCCTTTCTAATAAAGTGTGGTTTTTTTTACCCTTTGAAAAGCAGGCTACATATTTTTTTCCCCAAACTGTACAGGGTATGATCACGGATACACTGATACCGGATCCTCCGTAGCGAGGCGAAACACGAAAGGCGTCCCGCAAAATACTCCCAACACCAAGAAAGAAGTGAACCTTGGACCTTAAAGTTAGGGTCTTAAGTAGTACCAGCGTTTTGCAGATGGTGGTAGGAGGTCGATTGAGACTGGTTGGCGAGGTCCAAGTTTAAAGGAGGGGTGAAGCGAGGGTTGAGTAACGGACACAAATTCTTGGGTTGTGTTCCGAACCATTTAGGCATGGAAGTTGGTGTTGGCTGAAGCTAAAATGCCACTGACTTTCCGAAAGTCTCAAGTAGCAAGCAAAATGTTTTGCAATTGCTCATGGGGTGAAAAACAGGGGTGCGTGTCGCATGCTACTCCCCAAGCCAACTGTCAGAACCAAGTGAGCATGAATGATTGCATTGAGAAAAGAATGTGGGTATAAGTACCTAACCCTAACTGGGTTGTATCCCATAGGAAGTAACCCACTATAGCCTATAACCACAATATTGTTTGACACACCCCCCCCTGGCGAAGTGGGGAACAACAAGCGCTCACAAGACCAGTTAAGAGAGGCAAGCAAAGCAAAGCTCAGGGTGGATCTCAAGATCACCACAAGGCCAGTTCACATGCATATTTATAATAGCAATGGCAGTACACTGATCACAAGATAGCAAGTGAAAACATGCAGGCATAAATCTATATAGCAGTGTACAACAAAGCTAGATCAAGAGACAAGCATGTGAGGCAGTGTGCACAAGCCCAGGAGCAGTGCAGAAACGCTGATGATCACCAGACCCGAGGGCCTTGGTGAAGACATCAGCAGTGTTGGCCTGTGAGGCCACGTAAGCAAGACGAAGCAGACCACGCTGCTGTAACTCGCGTGCGAGAAAGTAACGAAGCGCAATGTGCTTCGTTCTGTGCCCCAACCTCTGCTCCCGACACAAGGCAATCATGGCCTTGTTGTCGACGTATTGAACTGGAGGAGAACGAGGCCGCTCACCCAAGTCCGTCAGCAAGTAGGTCTGACAGCGTAACTTCTGTGCAGCCATAGCCCCCGCGTAGATCTCAGCCTCACAACTGGAGTTGAGAACAGAAGACGAATGGGTGGACCTCCAGGAGACACAGAGCCGAGACCGAAAGTGTAACCCTGTGACGAACGCTGAGTCTCCTGATCGTCGGCCCAGGAAGCGTCTGAGTGACCAGTGAGAACAACTCGGCCATGTCCTCCAAGCACAAGCCCCATGCCTGATGTATTGGCTGTGAAAATAGTAGGTAGAGTTAGGAGCCATAGCTAGGTAAGTCCTAGCTAGGCAATGAGGATACATATAGCAAACCCTAGATGGGCTGTACTCGCTATAGAGCACCCCACTACAGGCTAGAGAATAACATTCTGACACACCCCCATAGCCAAAGTGGGGTGTAATCAGTACAATGAGCAAGCAGGTATAGAGCAGGAGTTCACAAAGGTAAGCAAAGCTAGAGCTAATCACAGCGGGCAAGTGAGGAGGAGGAGGAGCTGTGGAGGTAGAGAAGATGGGAGGCAACGACTGAAGCTGCAGAGGCACGGGCACAGGAGCGGCTGACTCAGAGGCTACCGAAGCAAGGGCGACGGACTACTGGAGTAACTGGCTCGGCGGCTATAGAAGAGCGGCAGGAGCAACGGACCCACTGGCGACTGGTGCAGCAGGCTCACTGGCTACCGAAGCAAGGGCGACGGACTACAGGCGCTGCAGGCGACACGACAGGTACCTC